TAGAGAATGGAATTGCGGTGCTGACGGGGGCGTAGTTGACGGCTGGCCGACCAGGGGCCTTCTGGAGCACTTGGCACGTGGTACACCTCCTGGCCAGATCCGCGCAGTCTCGCGCCATCGTCGGCCAGAAGAAGCCCTGGACGACGAGACGTCGGGACATGCTGAAAGGGCCCTAGTGCGAGGAGCAGACGCCGCAATGAACTTCTTCCATGGCCATGTCGGCCTCGTCCTGGTGCAGGCATCGGAGGAGAGTGCCATTATAGGACCGTTTGTAGAGTTTGTCATCTTAGATGGTGTAGCTTAGGGCCCTGAGCTTGGCAAGTTTGGCCCTCTCCTCGTCTGGTGGGGCTCCTCATGAGTGCGTCGAGAGGCTGCTGGGTTAGCACATGGACGGCATGGGCCTGGAAGTAGTGTCCCAGCTTCTTCACCGTATGGACGATGGCCAGCACCGTCTTCTCAATGGGGGAGTACCTGAGCTCGGCCTCCCTGAGTGTATTGCTGATGTAGAAGATGGCCTTTTGCACCCCTTCGTCCTCACGGATGAGCACGGAGCTGATGGCCGACGTGCTCACCCCTAAATACAAGAAGAGGGTTTCGCCGGCTTTGGGCTTGGAGAGCACGGGTGGGGACGATAGGTACCTTTTCAATTCGTCGAATGCTTCCTGGCACTCCGTCGTCCACCTGAAGCTGTTGGCTTTACGCATGATCTGGAAGAAAGGGAGTGCCCTCTCGGCTGACCTGGAGATGAACCGGTTCAGGGCCGCCAGGCGCCCCATCAGTCGTTGTACTTCCTTGACGTTACGGGGCGGCTCCATGTTGATGATAGCCTGCGTCTTCTCCGGGTTGATCTCGATGCCTCTCCGGCTGACCATGTAGCCGAGGAACTTGCCGCCCTGGACGCCGAAGGCGCACTTCTTGGGGTTGAGGCGGAGCCTGAACTCCATGATTTCAAAGATTTCCCGGAGGTCGTCGGCGTGGGAGGAGGCCTGCCTGCTCTTGACGATCATGTCGTCGACGTACGCCTCCATCGTCCGGCCAAGGACCGCCCTGAAGATCTTGGCCACCATCCTAGTATAGGTGGCGCCGGAGTTTTTGAGTCTGAAGGCCATGACGAGGTAGCAAAAGATTCCCTCTGGGGTCATGAATGTCGTCTTCTCAGCGTCATCTTCATGCATGGAGATTTGGTGGTACCCTCTGAAAGCGTCAAGGAACGACATCAACTCGCACCCCGCCGTCTCGTCCACCAGCTGATCAATGTTGGGGAGAGGGAACGGGTCCATGGGGCACGCCTTGTTCAGGTCAGTGTAATCAACACACATCCTGAATGTCGGCGGTTTCTGGGCGAGGACGACGTTGGCCAACCACGTTGGGTACTTCACCTCTTTAATGTGTCTGATTGAGAGGAGCATGGCGACCTCCCCTTTGACGAAGTCCCGCCTGTCGGCGGACAAGTAGCGCCGCTTCTGCTTGACGGGCGTGGAGGCCGGATCGACGGTCAGCCGGTGAGTAATCACCTGGCGGCTGATGTCTGGCATGTCATCCGGGCCCCATGCGAAGACAACGGCGTACGACCGCAGGACGAGGAGGATGGCGTCTCGTTGGTCCTGAGGGAGTTGCTTCCCGATCCTGAGGACCCGCTCCGGCCGGGAGGTATCCAGAGGGATTTCCTCGACCTCCTCGGCCGGCTCCGCATGTGGCCTCTCCTCGTCCTTGGCCACGGACGCCGTGATGGTGTCAATCCTCTGGCCTTCCCTCTCGGCCGGCCTCGTCAGTTTGAGGTAGCACGCCCTGGCTATTCTCTGGTTTCCTCTGGCGTAGCCGATGCCGTCATTGGTGGGGAACTTCAGACATAGGTGCTTCATGGAGATGATGGCCTCCAAGTCCTACAGCGCTGGCCGCCCCAAGATCAGGTTGTGGGCGCACTGGAGGTTGACCACCATGAACTCCATGTCAATCTTGGCGTGGTGGGGGCCGTCACCGACCTCAACGGGGAGGACTATCGTGCCCTCGGCGTCGATAGAGTCCCCGGTAAAGCCGGATAACGGTGTCTTGATCGGCTTCAGCAGAGCTCTATCCAGCTTCAGCTGCCTTAAGGTATCCAGGTACATCACATTGACGGAGCTCCCCGTATCGATGTAAGTGTGGTGGATGATGGAGTCACCAACCTCACACCGGATGACGAGGGCGTCCCTGTGTGATTCCGTACCCGGAGGCAGATCCTTGTCGGTGAAGGTGATAGCCTCCGTTCGCTGCTTCTTCGGCTGGGGGGGAACGTGGGACACCTCCCCTATGTAGAGGGATTGGGCCCATTTCTTTCTCTGAGTGGCGGAGTCCCCCCCCAGTGTTTCCACCTACGATGAGTTGAATGTGATTCTTCTTTGGCGAGGGCTCTTCGAAGTCCTCGTCGTCGCTTAGCCTACCAATCTCCCGCTTCTTCGTAGAGGGTTCGCCCCCATGTTTGCCGGTGTTTACCCATGTGTTTTTGCGTGGGCCACCTTTAACAAACTGGGAGAGTCCCCCCTGGCGAATAAGGCGCTCGATGGCCTTCTTCAGTGTGATGCAGTCGTCGATGTTGTGCGACGAGTTCTTGTGGAACCGGCAGTGTGCCGCCCTGCTGGATGGCAAGGATCTCCTCGGCCGGCCGAGGAGCCTGCTCGATGAGGCCGTGCTTCTCGGCATAATCGAGGATGGTGCCGACCGGGTGAGTGAGGGAGACCCCCGGCCGTTCCAACTTCGGTCGCCAGTGGCGATCTTTCTTACTCTGTCCACCAGAGCCGTGACGGCCCTGGGCACCCTGGCAGGCCGGGGACGGACCCGGGGCCGGCGAAGGATTTGTCTTCTTGGAGGGATGGCCCCCCTCTTTCTTGTGATTATGGAGCTCGTCGGCGTCGGCGTACAAGCCTCCGCGCTGGAGCGCCTTGGCGTACGACCTCGGAGGGTCGGTGATAAGGCTCCTAGCGTACGGGGAGCTGCGGAGGGCTCCCTGGTACAAGGCGAGGAGGGTGCGCTCATCGGCCCCCTCGACCTCCTCGGTTTCCCTCGTCCATCGATCAATGAATGACCGGAGGGGCTCCTCGTGCTGCTGCTTGACGGAGAGGAGGTGGGTGAAATACTTCTTCGCACGCTTCCTCCCGGCAAAGTGGGTGAGGAAGCGTTGGGCAAGATCCTGCCATGAGTCGATGCTCCCTTCGGGGAGCGCGTTGAACCACTCGTACGTTGGTCCCTCCAGAGTAGAGAGGAACCAACGACAGAGGTATTCGTCGGACGCGTTCACCATCAGCATGTTGTTCTGATAGCGGCTAAAGTGTTCTTGGGGGTCTGATCGGCCGTCGTAGGACTTGATGGCGTTCCCCTGTACTTCTCCGGGATGGGGGCCGAGAGGACCCTGTTGGTGAAAGGGGTCCTGGTCCTGACCTGGATGATGGGGTCACCTCGCCCTTCGGCCAACTCCCTCTCCAGGGCGCTAACCTTGTTCATGAGCGCGTTGAGGCCGGGGTCGTTGGAGGCGCCGGCCGTAGGGATGTTGGCCGACTGCTTGGCTTCCATCTGAGCAAGCCTCCTTTCCAGCTGGGCGATGACCTCATCCCGGGGGTCCCTGGCGGCCGCAGCGGCGCCTGGCTGGTTCCTCATGCGCTCGTCGTGAGCCGCATTGATCCGGTGGGGCACGTCGTCTTCGTGCAACTTCCCCTTGCCCTTGTCCGGGCGGGGCTGGTCCGCTGTCCGGGACACAGACCCCAAGCTTTCCCTCGGCGAGCCAGGATGAGGCTCACCAATCCGTCCCGTCATCCTCTCCGAAACCGGACGACGGCGCGTGTCACCTAGCCTGTTGAAGGCAGAGGCTTTTCCACGCGTTGGGGTCTGCCCGGGCCGAAGAGGGGAAGCAGGGTGGGAGTGGGACGACGCCGTGTCCTGGGCCACTACCCCCTCATCGTTGCCTATCTGGACGGCCAACGGTTGGGGCTGAGGAGGTTGAGTGACGTTCCCCCCGGTCCTTGGCAAGAGTGCGCTGAGGACGGTGGGGTTCTGAGCCAGGCTGGCAATGATGACCGACAGCGCGGCCTGGACCTATGAATCTACGGACGGAGAGGCCGCGGCCATAAGCTGGGTCGGGGCGTGGTCCGTCTTCTCAGCTCGCTTTTTGTCCAGGCCGAGGCGGGCATCAGGGGCTCCGCCGTTGAGTTGGTTGCGGAGGTCCGTCGTGAGGTTGAAGGCCTCCTGGAAGAGGTCCCCTCCGCTGACCTGGTCGGCCGTGGCGTCCTCGTCGTGCTCCCTGGGCTCTTGGTCCCCGGGGATGGCCTTGCTGACGAGGGTGCGGTTTGACTTAGTTCTTCCCATGATCAGTGGTTAGCCGCGCTTGGTAGCGACGAAGGGTGCTAGCTTGATTGTTCTAGCTCTCAACGAGAGCACCAAATGATAGAGTATATCTAGAGAGAAGTGAGAGCTAGAGAGAGAAGTGCAATAATATGCTTCAATAGAATGAATTTGTCACCCCTATAACTACTCCCAAGGGGGGTATTTATAGAGAAAATACGGGCTGGGCTCCCAAGCCTTGGGCTTAGGAGGCCCATTTACAACTGGACCGCTACTGGGCCGAATACAAAGCCACTAATGGGCTGTACAAATGAGTAAGTGTAGAATCCGGTTCTGTGGAGTCTTTGGGGCCGACGAGGGCGTGGCCGACGAGGGCACGGCCGACGAGGGCGCGGCCGACGAGGGCACCCGGGTTCCTTGGCTTCAGGACCATAATCTGAGTTGGCACCTTTTCGGCCGACGGGGGTCCCTTGGCCGACGAGGGCGCCACTCTGTGTCTTGTGCTTTCTGTTCTTCCGAGTATGTGGGTCTGGGGGCTAGGACCCATATACTCCATCAATATTTATATTATATCTGTCATGTGGTGACACCAAAACTGCCATCTTCATTGACATGGCAAACTGGTTCATCACCATGGTTCATTTTTATCTATTACACCTGTTACAATATAATGAAGCAGGAGAATGAACCTTTAACCGTGTGAACTCTTCATGAATAGCTGGATCTAACAATAATTTCCTTGCCTGTAAATATAGCAAAGAAATTGTGAACTCCAAGTTGAGAGCTAGATAAACATAATGCAGATAATGTAAAAGGAAACGGATAAATTTTTTGAGAAAGCAATAGATGAATGTGCTTAGCTGTCAAAATATCAAATATTTCAACGAATGGTACACCAACAACAACATCCAAGCCTTATTCCAAAAAGATTTTGGGGTCGGCTAACATGAATCAAAGGGTATAGCAAAAAAATAAAATTCCACAGACCACAGGAGAAATACTACATAGGTCAAATTGGGAGGTTATGTTGTTAGCAATGAACAAAAATATATTGCAATAAAAATATCTAATATAAGAAAACAGTGGATTGCAAAAAAACATATTGAGGTTTCATGTTACTGTTGTAGTGGAATTCAGCCAGATATAGAAAAGAACTTGAAGATTCAAATTGAATAAAAAATTTGAAATCGCAAATGACAAAAGCCAACTATAGATATATCTTGATCAAATCCTGAAGATAAGACAAAGGCAGGCCAAACCAAAGAAACCATCAACTGGCCATCTTCGTGGTTGGGTTTGCTTCTGGAGATCTTTTCTAGTCGGTTTTGTTTCCTAAACTGTTAACCACAGAAAACTAGCATGAAGCCATCCAAATAATGACCGGCACAATTTCATGTTTAACAGCACAGATTTAGACAGATCTTTGTGATCCATAAAAGGGTGTACCCAGAACCGTAGCCCCTACATAATGGGGATACCCGGAAAGGGTTAAGGAGGTCACATTCATGTTGTTTTTGCAAATAGATGGATTCAAACCTTGGGCCTCCATGACACAAGGGGAGAGAGTCCAGTCAGTCCACCAGTTGAGTGGTCAGAATCCGATGGCAGTGATGAAGGCCAGTGGAAGCAGGTTATTTGATGTTTTTTATTGTACAAATCATTATTTCTTTAAGGGAAAAACAATTTAGATATCCCAAACTTTGAAGAGGTGTGAGGTAAGTACCCCAAACTTGCACATGTATTAAATGTACCCAAACTTTATATAAAATGTTATGTTAGCACAACGAACATATGTTTTTTCTTTCACAAATGTAATTTTATGGTGTTAATTACATAATTTAAAATCCATAAAACATTTATGAGGATGTAGTTAACATTAGATTGTACCGGATGTAATATTATTTATTTCACAAATGGAATTTTAGAATGTTAAGTGCGTCCTAACAAAAGCTTGAAGTATTTTAACTTATGTACTTATTATATCAATATAAGTGAAGAAACCATATCATCCAAAAGTATTAGAGCTTGTAGTTTTAGACTACAAGCTTTATTACTGTTTGCTTAGTACTTCACAAGGGAGAAGAATAAATACAATTAACATATAATGACGTATGATTTGCATACCTGCATGGACGGTGGTTTCAGTTGAACTCTGAGATCACGAACACAAGACTATGGCGATCATGAAAGAAAGAAAGAGAAAATGAAATGAAATGCCATACAACTCATGGCCTATCCAACAAACAAGACATGCCATTACAGTCATAATAATTTGTTGGAGTTTGATATCCTTCTGATTGAGGCCAGTAACCGCAAAAGTCAATTTTGTGTTTCATGCTATGTAATAATAATAAAGAGCATTCCTTACCTTCAACTCTGCTATCTCTTGATCTCTTTTTGCAATATTGACTAAAAATGCAGCTTCTTTTTTCTTTGCTTTTTCCAACTAATAAAGCCAACAATGTAAATTAAAAATAAGTTGCTGAGTAAAAAACTAGAATTGAAAATACTAACTATTGATTAATTCACATAAGATTAGAGAACACCTGTTCCTGTAACAACTCCTCAGATGACCTTAAATTTTGAAAATAGTTGACCACAACTCCAGGTTCTGCAAGGAAATATATCAAATGAAAATAAATCATTTGAAAGCAAACCAGATCTACAAACATGAGCCTACTATAGTGGATGCCAGAACGATTACTCAAACAAGCACTTGATACTAAAAAATGCAGAACATGTCCATGCAACAATAAGACAATATATGTTGCTTTAAGAGATGCACAAACCAGGGGTTGTTCCAGGAGATATGAAAGGTTCCTTCTGAAAGGAAGAATGCCACTTCTGTATTTCAGACTTGGCAGCTTCAAGTTCTGACTACAAAACATCAGAAAAAGTAACAGCATGAACTTAAGAGAGATATCAATTCATGTGTAGTAATGACAATGGCGAAGCAACACGCTCAACAGTGTGGTAGTGGGGTCTATTGATTACTGTCCCAATGAAATTAACTTTCTTGTTCTCTTGCTCTCTATCCTCTACCTCTCCCAAGTTCTCCCCCTCCTCTTATCTATTGAGTACAAATCCTCTGTAACACATTCCCTAAACTACTTGTATACCATTTGTTTTGCTTGGTCAACAACAACAACAACATCCAAGCCTTGGTCCCAAAAGAGTTGTTTTGCTTGGTCAATGTCTATTAATTAAATAATTAAAAAAAAACATGATTTTAACCAATCAAAAGGAGCGGTACACCAACGGTAAAGGATATGTGGTACAAAGGATTTCAATTCACACACAAACGTGGTAAAGGAAATGTGCTACATCTTGTTGTCTGCATCAACTTCAATAAAAAACGAAGCTCCTTCACTAAGGCATCATTTAAAAGGGGCAATTGTATCCTTAAATAGGACGGGAGGTGTATATAAATATATAATGAACAGTTAAAATTTATAAGATTATATTACAGTATCGACTGTGCTAAAATGTCCATTCGGTAATACCAAACCGAAATTTCGGGTATGCATATTTCCATATCGAATACCGAACCAAACTAAATCGGTTTGGTTCGGTAAAAAACAAAAAAAAAATCGGTTCCGGTAATTGGTAAACCCGAATTACCAAATAGGCATTCAACAATTTATTTAATTGTTTATAAATAAATATTTAAATATATTATAAATAATATATAAATACTACGTATATTATATATAAATATATACTACGTAATACATAACGAATTATATATATAAATATTTAAATATTTTTACCCAAAATATATCAATATATTATATATATTTAATATTCATTATTTTATGTATTTCGGAATTCAGTACATACCGAAAACCAAAATATTTATATAGATACCGAACCGAATACCAAATTTTCAAAATTATACGTACTGATTACCGAACCGAAATTTCTGTTCGGTATTGGGTACGTACCAAAATTTCGGTATCGGTTTGGTTCGGTCGGTTTACCGAATTGTGCACACCCCTACGCTAAATTGACATACTGGCTATGCTACTCATGCTAGGATAACCATTAAGGGATGGTAGTCTTGAAGTACGCAATGCAGTTCTCAAAAGAACTTCATGTATTTTTTTACCAACCAAGCAGTGACAGAGATCAACAAACTTAACATTATTTATAAGCTATGTTATTTAAGTTTCAGTGCTTGCCAAATACTCGCTACTTGGCCCTAGACCTTGTTGAGTTATCTACCTACTTGGCCCCATGCGGTATACACATACACTCTTAAAATACTTAGAAGATAATTCCAGTGGTATCATAGTGCCAATACACCATTTTTTTATAATGTGGCCGCCTCGACCAAGTACTTCAGTTCAAGCAATTGGTGGGAACACCCGAAGGATATATATGAGATCTTCTCAGAGATAGCCAAAGTTCAAAATGAACCATTGATTACAATATTAGTATATGAACATATTCCTTAACAAATTAGGATTGATATAGAGCATAATAGTAACGACACAACTAATATATACGTACATGTTGAGAAACCACATGTCAGATATGCATTGCAAAAGTAATTACAACCACATATCAGATATGCATTACAAAAGTGATTCCAACAACAATTCTAATAGTGTAGGGCATACCTGACAAGTTGCAAGGGTTTCTTCACAGTTCTTAAGACTGCAAATCATAAAAGAAACAGATAATTAAAAATATAGCAGCATGACTCCAAAAGATAAGATATGCATATACAGAAACTGAAATCAGAATAAGTAATACCTCTCACGAAGGGACAAAATTGTCCCCGTTGCAGCACCAGGTGCAGTTTCATCCAGTTTTATGTTTCCCTGCAATTTTAATGAAGGGTAAAAAATAATTAAAGCAAACTACATTAAATAAATATGAGGGATTTAGTTGCGGCAAACAATACAAGCATTCGCAAATAGGAGAAATCATATTCACTTAAGCAATGCACACTATCACTTGTCACTTGCCTAAAAACTTAGAACCCACTGTGGTAGACTGGTAGTAAAGCTAGAAGCTTAAGTTTAAATTAGAACTCCTAATACTTATATGATTTCTAGACCTTAGAATGGGCAGGCAATACACACTTTCAGAGTTGTATATCACCAAAACGTGAATTACATAATATAGCTATGTAGTTCGTGCTTGAAAACTCAGTCATGCTCAATGTGAAATTGTGAATCTATTACTTTAAATTAAGTTCAAACAAGCTTGTCACCAGCTAGACTTAACATGTATTTACAGCTTTAGGTCCCAGTGAAACTGTACACTATTCATCGACCTTCACTTGAATTTCATATGCAACTATATATAAAACATTAAAACATATATCTAGATTTTAGCTATGTTGAAAGGTAGCTTAGTTGCCATTCCCGCATTCTGTTCCCTATTACTAGCATGATATGTTTACAGATGGGTCTAAATCATCTTACTAATTGCCGGAAATTCTCAACATGCCTCAGAATGAAATCAACTCTTTTATTACTAAACGTTCACAATTTAAATAGACCTCAGGATGGCACAATTGCTAGTGGTGGTAGTTTGGCAGCAGTTTGTCTGCAAAGGTGAGAATCACTGGAAGTCGTGAATGTTGTTGTAAATTTGTCAGCCCTAGTAGTGGTTTGCTTAGAGTAGCAGGGTGTTAGTGACAGTGGTTTAAGCACAATAGCAAGAGTCTCCACTGGTGCCAAGGTTGTTAATAATGGCAGTGGTTTTGAGGATGTTGGTGTTGACAATGATAGCTGTGGGGCGAACTACCAACTATAATGACAACTTTCTTGTCTGGTAGAGTGTTAGTGCGCCTCTGTGGTTTGTTTTAACTATGAAAACATAAAAACACATATTTTACTTTTCTGGAAAACCAGTCAATAGATTTTCGTTTTCTAGTTTGAAAACCTGAGGAGTTAACTTATTTCTATTTTTGTACTTGTAAAATACTCCTGAAAAAAAACATGTTTTCTGTTTTTCTTACAGAAAACTGGAAAACTCAGCATAGCTTTCCATTTAAATGATCAAAAACTGTAAAATGGGTATGTATGCATAGCTTTGGATGCATCATCAGCGTTTTCACAGCTAATCCAGATGAAACTCATAAAACAGGACTTATATACATATAATACAGCAGGACTGCATAATAATCACTTCTTAGATCTGCTAAAATAATGAGTGCATAAATCAGGGAATAACCTTCTTGGAACCAAAAATGTCCTCTTTTTCGTCATCAAGCTCTCCAAAGCTTCTCTTAGTCCCTAACATGAGACTCTTTTCAGTACAGGATGCAGCTTAATTATACATAGAGCAGAGGGGCGCAAAAACCTGAGCGTCGAGTTCCAGAGAAATCCCCGCCAAAGTCATCCTCCTACGATTTTTAATTTTAAAACTCAGTGAAAGAGAAGGCAGAATGAAATCTAAGGGTTGATGTTCCAGAAGAGAGAAATCACTCACATCGTCGAGATGATTGGGCGACGCCATTGGATTGGATTTGAACGACAAGTGAAATTGAAGCTCTAAACCCTGGTTTGTAAAACTTCAGCTCTTCCGCAAGCGGAGGGAGTTTATGTGGAATTAGGAGCCAGGTTTTAGAAGTTTGACTGCACTGAAATAACAGGGGTGTTCAATTAGGAATGGGAATTTTCGCTCTAAATAACATTAAAAATTCAAAACATGCTTTTATTCTTTAATAATAAATAAACAGGGACACATTTTATATTCCTTTAATAGGATACATTTTTACCCTTCATATCATATAAATAAGAAAAAAAATCTCAAACTAGGAATACTGAATTTCAAAATAAAGCTGTTATGTTATTCTTCATTAAAAAGGAATATATTAATGTCATTCTAAAAATGTTATGTTTTCACATTATTAGGCTTTAAATATGGCCATATATTGTCAAAAGTGGAGATATTTTACAAACTTAATAATTTTTACTTATATTTAGAAAATAAAAACATATAAATCTTGTTCTAGAATTTTTAAACGTTTTGGCTCTTATTTAAAGACAATTATTTGTCCACCTCACATAAGCGGACAATCCGACGACGGTCCTATGGCGAGGCACGAGGGCGGTTCGGCTGTGTCACTACTACTACCCCTATAAGACCATTTGTAGTGGAAAGGTTTTAGGAGTCTAAAAATTAAAAGTGGAACTTTTGGACTCCTAAATGTGTGTAGTGAAGGATTAAGAGGAGTCTTAAAAGTGGGTAAAGGGGTTGCGGGTGTTATTAATAGAGGGTGGATTGACTCCAGAATGATGATGTCATTTATGTGTCATTAAATCTCAAATTTTTTAAAACTCTTATAACTTTTTTATTTGTATTCCAAATTTTTCAAAAAACATAACAAAATTCATGAATTTTCGTGATCTTTCATATGACACAAATATGTAATATATAAAATGAAAAAAAATCAGAAATTTTATTTGTTGAAATTTTCCTGAGCACAAAAAAACATGCAACACAAATTTTTAATTAATGGAGTATTCACAAATAACCGAATATTTCATAATCAAATTTTACTTGAACTAAGTTCATTCTTGTTAACCGGAAACCTTTAAAACAAAGCAATGAAATGTATTTATTTTTATATCAAAATGTGTATTTTTTATATCATAATTATTTAGGGAAATATTAAAAGGAAAACATTACTTAAAATAATTTAACTAATGTTTTACTGAATTGGTATGTAAAAAAATATATTGAGTGTATTTTATTGACGGTGCACATATGCAGGGAAAAACAGTATTGACATAATCTAAACACTGTTTTCATATGGACGGAGTCCAAATTTAACAATTTGGACTCTTGACCACTACAAATGGTCTAAAGACAATTTAATCCAATAAAAAGTTAAATCCTATTTAAAGAATTAAACATTCACTCCTATTATTGGAATTTGAGCAATTTTATTTCTATTTGTAGAACACTCCCTATTTAAAAAGCTTGTCTACAAAATAACAAAGTGGTAAATACATTGGTGTGAAAAAATGAAAAAAAAAGAAGAAATAATACCTAGAGGCTAGAGCTCGTTTAATAGCAAAATCAACCAGTTTTTGCAGAATTTGTAATTTTTAATTTCATTGAATTGTATTCCTTCCGTCCCGAAATAATTGTCTCCTTTCCTTATTTGGTAAACAAATCTATACAAAACAATGTCAAACAATGCAAAACAGTATCAAACAACATCGCTACAATGCCAAACAATGTCTCTACAGTGCCAAACAGTATCGCTACAGTGTGAAGCCAACTTCACTTTCTTAATCTGTGTGAAGGTCAAACCAGAAAAATTATTTCGGGAAGGAGGTAGTATTACAATTACGATTAAAATTAAAGTAAGTTGTTGAAGACTTGAGGTTACCCATAGAGCATTTACATAATAATCCCTTTGAACTGCTAACAATATCTAAAGTTGAGCTGAACTCCAAATTTGTCAAGTTCAGAGATGGGTTCTTTGACTGCAACATTATCTCCGAATTCATTTCAACTCCGGGTAGCGTTAAATTGTAGAAGGCCGTCAACCCTGTTAGTACGAGTGTGTGTTGGGAAGAAGGATTATAATCACAGGTTGCATTTACTCTTTCTCGGGGAGAATTACCACGCGAGAAATCGTGATGGACTGGAAAGGCGTAATTTTTTGGCTAATTCGGTTTCTCCGGAAGCTGAATTCGCTGGATGGTCTGAAGCTGATGAAGCTGAAAGGTCGAATGAAGCTCAGGAAAAGCAGACCATTGGAGGTGAGCTCTGTCATATGATGATTCTATTAATTTATTAGATAATCGCATCACTTTTCCTTGATTGGATCTGAAATTGGTTTATATGCTGGACTTCACTTCTTCAGCGGAGCTTGTGAAATGACAACATTAGTTTTGTCTTCTGCATGATTGTATCTTTAATCTTTATATAAATGCTTCTATCCTGAATTAGTAACATTCTTGGCTTATTCTCAGGGCTTCTGAGAGCAGGAGTAGCTGGCGTAGTACTAGTGGCTGGGATAGTCTTTGCCACTCTATCAATAAGCAAACAGTGCAAGCCAAGTAAGCGGTTCTTAGTATATGCTTTATAGTATATGAATATGAGCATTATGGTTCAAGGAAAACTACTTTGCACATGCAGATAAATATTGGTCCCCACTTTTCAGCAACTATTTAGGTTACTATTTTACAATAGCTAAACAGCCATCTGATCTCATGCTGCTATTTCCCCCCTCCAATTACATTTTCAGTCTCCCTATTGGTCTGATACAAACTTCAGAATTTAGTAGATATATGAACTCGTAGTTTTTTGAACAGGATTGAAGCAATGCATTGACCCTTTAACTACACAACAAGCAACGTCAGTCATCAGTGATAATCACAATGATAGAGTTGAATCAAAGAATGATATACTCAAGAATAACATGCAAGGAAGTGACAATCAAGAAACCAATGCAGTTATATACAATGATCCCCTTTTACATCCTGAAAACCATGATGATAGCAACACAGGGCACTCTTTTAATCACAATTTATCTGCATCATCTGATGTTGGAGTTTCTGACTCTTTTAGTCACTCAAGCTTTGGAAGTAAAGATACTAGTTTTGCTGCTAGAGATCCAGGATCAGTAAATGAACAATATGGGCCTTTTGGCGCAAACTTCGATGACACACATGCAATTCATGTACTACATAGGTCCAGTTTAACAAATCCAAGTATGGATCAGCAGGAAGGAGTTTCTGATTTAGATGAACCTGTAAACTCACAGTCTGCATCTACGGTAGAATCTATGGTTGAGAATGTTAACATACAGAATATGGTTGAGGTTCCAGATGAAGGAGACAATTTAATTTCAGAAGCACGTGGATCATCAGGAACAGTATTGGAGGTCACTGTCATGAATCAGTATTCTAAAGAACTAAAAGAAAACATTTATAATGATAACAAAGCAAGCGAATTAAGCTACAACTCTTCCATTTCTGAAGAAACATTTCCTTCTGCTGGCATACCTGCTCCTTCTTCTGTGTCTGCAGCTTTGCATACACTTCCAGGAAAGGTGCTGGTTCCTGCTGTCATTGATCAAATCCATGGTCAGGCACTAGCAGCCTTACAAGATTTGAAGGTCGTCTTGCTTTCAATTATTTAAACTTCGCAAATTAAAGTTCATTATGTCTTGCTTTCCACAATCATATATATACATGCATCAAAGTTATCATCATTTCATTTTCATTTCATTTTCATTTACCCCAGACCCCAGTGCCGCAAAGGCTCCCACCTACGGTGGGGTAAGGGGGGGTCGGATGTACGCAGTCTTACCCCTGTACTAAAAAGCACAGAGAGACTGTTTCCGGATGACCCATAGTGAAAATCGCGTCCAAAATTGCATGGACTGACTGTTGTTCCATAACAAAGAAGCGCAGACAGTTTAGTGAGCCATTTTGCTTTATTCCATCATAATCTCAAGCCAAAAAATAATGAATCTTTGGCTCCATTGCTTTATTCCATCAAAGTTATCATCACTCTAGTTAAAAATCCTAGTTAAGTAGTTAGATATAGTCCTGCAGTCCTGCAGTAGGAGATTCAAGATCAGGGTGCAATTTTTGTAACTGTACCTGGTGGTCTGATAGCATTACACTTTTAGGTTATTGAGGATGATGTTCGGCCCGGTGACCTTTGTACTCGCCGTGAATATGCTCGCTGGTTAGTTGCATCTAGCTGTGCTCTATCAAGGTATATGGATCTTAAAATAGAGCATCACATTAGTAGTACACCTACTGCTTCCTAAGACATGTATAAAATGACTGCATGTCCATCTGAATTGCATACATGCTATCATGATGTATATGTATTTAGGTCTACTGTCTCCAAAATCTATCCTGCAATGTATATCGAGAATGTCACTGAGCTTGCCTTTGATGATGTTACAATTGAAGATCCTGACTTTCCCTGCATACAAGGTAGAGCTTAAGATCTGTGATCTTCTGAGAAGTATTTTTCTGGATTGGTCCAATTTAGTTCCTGATGTTTGTAATGTTTCAGGCTTGGCAGAAGCTGGTCTCATCTCCAGCAAGCTATCAAGACGTGATACACAGTCATCTGCAGACGGAGACCAAAGTCCCCTCTTCTTTTCTCCTGACAGGTGAGCGCATGAAATGCTTCATTATCACGTTAATTACTTTGTTACCAAGTTATAGTTGTCTGTTTGTGTGGAGAGCATATTCACAGAGGGATCTTTGTTAAGTTGCAACTAGATTATACTGTGACTGACCTCAAAGATTGCTTTCATTTCTTACACGACTTTCACATTTGTATTCATTGCATGCACTCATCTAAATAGTTACTGTTTGTATTATGCTTTTTAGGTGAATTGACAATTCCATTGCCTCTTATCTAATTCGTAATAGACCTTGATGCAGTCCCTTGTCACGTCAGGATCTTCTAAGCTGGAAGATGGCCCTAGAGAAAAGACTACTTCCTCTGGTTGACCAAAAGGTACAATTCACACCGACAAAAGTTGCTGCTATCTTTTTCCTAGAAGAAATTTACATGAAATGACTAATAACTTCAAAGTGCAAACAATAAAACAATTCATTTTTTCTATTTCCTTTTACTTCATCGGTAGACTTTGAAGCAACTCTCTGGATTCATAGATATTGAGAAGATCCATCCAGATGCATGGCCTGCTGTGGCAGCAGACTTAGCATCAGGGGAACAAGGAATAATAGCTCTTGCATTTGGTGAGACTTATCCTGCTTCAACGATTACATTTTTTGCTTTACATGTGAAAGGTGGTTAAATATCAATAGCCTCCTTGCAGGATATACAAGACTGTTCCAGCCAGATAAACCCGTGACTAAAGCTCAAGCTGCTATTGCGCTTGCAACTGGTGAGGCTCATGACATTGTTGCCGAGGAGCTAGCACGCATTGATGCTGATTATATGGCTGAAGAAGCTGTCACTGCACAGAAAGCTTTAATAGCTGAAGTGGAGAAAGAGGTCAATGCAATTTACGAGAAGGAACTCTTGTTGGAAAGAGAGAAGAATGATGCGGTTCAAAAAATGGCCGAGGATGTAAGACAAGAATTAGAAAGGATACAAGCTGAATGGGAGGAAGAAAATCTTTCCTTACTGAAGGAGCGTGCTGCCATTGATTCAGAAATGGAAGTCTTTTCTCGGTTAAGAAGTGAAGTACAGGAACAGCTTCATACTCTTATGACTAACAACTTGGAGATCTCCTATGACAAAGAAAGGCTCAAAAAGCTCCGGGAAGATGCTGACCTTGAAAGTCAAGCAATATCAAGGTTGCAATACGAGCTAGAGGTCGAGAGAAAAGCACTGTCCATGGCTAGGTATGTAAGCAACCATATCTTCATAAAATTTAGGGCCTGTTCATTTGTATTAAATTTACGAGTATAGTCTAGTCTTTTAAAACCTGATCTGGTCTATTTAAGTTTGAATTGGTCTGGTTAGGCTTGATATTATGTGTATGTTGTTATAAATTATTGTTGGTCTGGTCTGATTTGTTAAAGTCCAAATAAGTCCAAAGTGAAAAAAGTCGTTTTTATTTCACTGTTTTTTCCAATTGATATGTATATTAACCCAATTCTTTGACTCAGAGCTTGGGCTGAAGATGAGGCTAAAAGAGCTAGAGACCAAGCTAATGCCCTGAAAGTGGCAAGAGATCGTTGGGAGAAACATGGCATCAAGGTGGTTGTTGATGATGACCTACAGGAAGAAGCAAATACTACACCTGCCATGTGGCCAGGTGCTGGAGAGCAGTTGTCAATAGAAGGAACCGTATCTAGGGCCGAGAATTTGGAGGACAGTCTTAGAGGAATGGCTGATTCAGCTATGGGAAAATCAAGAGATACAATTCACAAGATAATGGAGAAGATACTTTTATATATTTCCATTGCAAGGGAGCTGGCACAGAGAGGATTAAGGGAGGCTGTAATGGTAAAAGACAGTGCCACAAAGAAGATCTGCAACTCTTTACACTCTGTGGAGCATAGAGCTGCTGGATTTGGGGAGGGAGTTAAGCGATTCGCTGGAGATTGCAAAGAAGGGGTTGAGAAAATCTCTCACAGATTTAAAACTTAAAATCCATCAAATAGCTTACACTCGGGCACCTAAAATGACAGTAATATTTCTTAAAGCCAAATAAACTCGGACTAGAATCTAGCAGCTCTACTTTTTTGTAGGATTTGTACCTCTTTGATCATATAATGTGGGAACAGATAGAGCAAGTAGGACGGAAAACAGTGAAACTGCTCTAAAAAGACAAACCTCCAGGAAAACTAACACATTTCGACCTGTCCTCATTTATCACTAGCCCCAGCTCCTATGGGCAGCATTTCTCATAATAATCATTTTATTTATTCAAATGAAAATGGTATGTATAAGTATACTGGTGAGTGGTGACGCCTTCATGTGTATGATATTATGGACAAGTGTTACCACACAGCGGCAGCATATTAGCTACAGAAGGACAAACAGTTCGAATTCTAAATAAGAGTATCTTTTATCTTTATCTTCCAATTTTGGTCCGTCTTGAAATATTTTGTCCCATATCATATTTGAGACTTTGAGTGGCTCACAATATTTTTTACTTTTTCACTTTCAATACCTATATTAAATTCTACTCAATGTTGATCTTTGACAATTAATGTTTATTTCTGCACAGATAAAGTTTATAATCAATTAATATTTCCATAATAATTAAAACATCTTACTTTATGTTATCATCAATACTTTCTCGGTTCTGAACGGGCAAGAATTTATAAGATCAAAATTGTGTGATTTAATTTTATCCAAATGAAAGGGAAATAATAAAACCATCACATAGTATTTGAAATGAGAGTAACGTATACTCCATTTGTATTCCAATCCAAGGTTCTCAAATCTCTTTCGGACGTCTCATTTAGAGCCTTAGAGGTCCTTTCCATTTTAGCAAATAATTCTCTCTTAAATGATAACTTAATAATCACATGTTAAAATTAATAAACCCATAACATCACAATTATACAACTTAATAGCAAAATAGATGTGTTATTTTTAATAACAAATTAAGTTACCTTTTTTAATTGTTATCTAAAGGATGTGTCATTTTTAATAGCAAATCTTGTTAAATTTGAAAATTGTCAATCGAAAGTTAGGAGCCATGTTTAACATTTCGAAAGAGTAATTGGTTCAAAAAACTATTAAAAGTTGAAACTAGAGAAAGCCAACTATTCTCGATCGAGCCCCAATTACAGACTTGAAGTTCAATAGAAATCGATAGTCTGTCACAGCGAATTGTGTGATGGCAGATTCAGCTTCAATAACCTTGAAAATGGTATAGAATGGATGTAGGTTTGGTATATTCACATCTATAAAAATCAAGCAACACTAACGTTATGTCAAAAGAATTAACCGCCTCTACACACTAACAAAACACATTGTTTGCCAAGGAGTACGTTGTGATCCTAGGCATTGTAGAACCGATAATGTGAGTGTGACTCATAATAGGTTCTAGACTTCCAGTGATTAAACATTTTCATAATCATCAAGACGTGTTCCCAATGGACTTCAAAAAATGTTACATACATAGCTATAGAAGCAAGAGTATAGCATAGTACATCAGGTTGCCCCAAAAGGGTGCACAAAAGCCGGGAAGGCCGGGCGGGGACATCACATAAAAATTTTAAAAAACTAGTATAACCTATACCAACCCCAACTATAAATACTTGCAGTAATTGCTGCCATTAAAAAAAACTGGACATTGATGTTTGAATTGTATCCCATTGGCTCCATCCAGTCCATCAGCAAGATCTCAATCTCTTTCATAGAAAAGCTGTTTGAGTTAGGCTAGTCGCCACCAAATTGACCTTCTCTTCTACCGCGAGATCTAACCTCTGATGTATGCTGCAACTGTCCAGTAGAGCCCCCCCTGTCCACAATTTTAAGAGGGTGGGCTTCTGTGTTGAAAACCCACTGGTCCAGTGGAATCACTGAAGGCGGCGAAAAAAGAAGATAGAGATATTTAAGGGTCTCTGCCATGAAAAAGCTCTGCATCATGTTGTCTTTCACACCCGTGTTCACCTGGGAAAATGACCAAAATGAGAGAACTATCAGCAACTGCATAATAAGTCTGATAAAGAGGAAAATAGAGTCACCAAACGGGCTCAATAACTCATTCTAGTACATAAAGATTATGCATGGTGCACTTTGAGGAGCGCTTCTTACATCTTTTAGCCCAACATATCCAGATTCTATACGACAGTTCTTCTCAAATGCCTGAAATATGTTCCAACCCCAATCTTGGTATGTCCTGTTTCCAGTCAAACGCCAGAGATAAAAAAGCGACTCAACAGTCTCCGGCCTCAGTATGTTCCATGATGTCCCCACACTCATATCCTTGAAAATAATAAAACCAGGAACCAGATATTGAAAAAATATATATTCAACTACATGTTTTCTCTATGGGATAACATGAGAACACAAAAATCATATGCGTGCAGAATATAATTGGAACAGAAGTATTCCAACCTGCCCTTTATGAAAAAAGTAGTTCTCTCCAGCCAATTTTGTTGGCGTTGACTGGTAGAAGTTATAGCAAGTCCAAGCGAGCTGCAAAAGACAAGATCTATTTATAGATTATTAAGTTCATTTAAATCCATGGATTGGAAAACTCTACCTGATTACATCAAAACTACCTTATTAGTTCATGACTACAGCAACTAATAACTTTTATAGATACTTTTAAAGTTTTCAAAACTAACATAAATTAACACAAGAAATTGTTCGTGCATTATTGCATAAAATAACTACTGACATCCTAGTCTGTATTATTTATAGGGAAAAGTACGGGAAAGGTACTTGTGGTTGAGCCCGTTTTCAGATAGAGTCACGTGTTTCATTATTTATCAAAGTGGTTCATGTGTTTGAATTCCATTATCACAAGAGGGTCACGCCGTTAAAAACGTCTGAAAAGGACCGTTAAAAGTAACTTCGATTTTCAAAAGTGCCCGAAAAATTAAAAGAAAAATACCGGAAGATGCGTCTCAATAAGACAACAGCTAGGTCATCTTTCTTTTTTGTTTTCAGCCATCCTTGTCACCGGAAAGTCCATCGGAATAGTGTTATTAGTGAAATCATTTTTAAAAATGAATTCAAACATATCTGAAAAATCCAAAGGCGAAGGTGGTTTGGAGGTTATCTTGACGAGGCGCACCTTTCGGTATTTTTCTTTTAATTTTTCGGGCACTTTTGAAATTCGGAGTTACTTTTAACGTCTTTTTCAGACGTTTTTAACGGCGTGACCTTCTTGTGATAACGGAATTCAAACACATGAACTACTTTGATAAAGAATGAAACACATGACTCTATCTGAAAATGGACCCAACCACAAGTACCTTTTCCGTACTTTTCCCTTATTTATATTACAAATCTGAATAACTAAAGAAAATGAATATTCCAACATAATGTGGGTGTTATAAATACTCTGTATTTATACTCTGTATTTATAAGACCGACTTAATCAGTACTCCACAGAAGAATGACATTTTGACTGACGCTGCATTGGTGTACCTCTTCTGCTAATGATATGAACTTTCCAGATTCATCAGGACTATCATAATCAGAAGCACCTAAGGCCAACATTCCTGGAGCAAAGCACGCAAGTTCATCCATCTGCAATGTTTTTAGAGAAAAGATTGAGTCAAAGCTCAAAACAAATGAATAGGAAAAACACTTAGATACCCGCTCCTACACTTATCACCTTGTCAGTAAAAGAGCTCCCAGTCCTCTCACAAATATAAGCAAAAGATGAAGGGGTTGTCCTTCGCACCAAGCTCTCGAGACCTTTCATTGATGTCTCCCACATTTTTCTGTTATCAAGATTTGGATTAACATCAAATGATCAAACAAAGACTCGGCAGTACTTAATGATTAAGTAAATACTGGGTATTATTTCTGGTCCCAAGACTTTGGTGTTCCTGTCATTTCTATCGACTCACATAGAAAAGTTAGAATACAAAAGTTTCTATTAGAATTACGATTAGGGAATACCACTCCCCCACAATAGAAAAAAGATAAAACTTTAAAGGAAGAATATAGGGGAAATCTGGAACTTGTTGGGGGGGGCTTATATACCCTGTAGCTGGGAGTGTAGGGGTGGACATGCTTACCCCCTACAATGGTCGAACGATCTTGTTAATTCCAAAAACACACAAACACAGTGATTTTACTTTATACCTAAATTTATGACACTCAATTGGGGGAATGGTCAGATCAAAAAACCAAATACCATGACTGTATAGGAAGAAGGAAGTTCTGATTACCTGTAATGCATGACATCATCGGTTTTATTTCCTTGAATCCAGACCTTGAGTAAGTACTCATAGAAGCTGGAATGAAATTGTGATTAGAAATAAGAAATGGAAATAGAATTATACAATACAATCAATATAATATTAAAATTTCTTCAAAGCATACCCACTAACCCACATTATACAAAAAAAAAATGGAAGTTCATTACCTGTCCCCCATGGCTCCAAAAGTTATTGTTGAGTGTGATTTTCTCCAGCTATGTGGATTAAGGTAGATTGGAAGTAAACCATCATCAGGAAAAGTTTTGTTAAGCTCTAAAATAACATTCTCCACCTGGAATATTAACACATGCCATTAACTAATATCAGAAGATTGACATGCATCAAAGACTTGAAAGTTGGAACAATAATGATATAGTACCAACTCTGATGCTGCAAATAATAGCTTCTAGAAAGATGCATACATATGTAAATCCTGAAGGAAGAGGAACTTCAAGGAGATGTTTGGAACTCAGGAAATAGTAGAGGAAGGGAAAAAATACAAAGCAAAACGGGTATTTATGTTTGGTTTTACCATGGAAAATTTCAAGGAAAATCACATTGGGAAAATGAACAAATATAACCCTGAACTATATGTTCAAGAACACAAACTCCCCCCTCAACCTTCTTTTGGAACATTTAAAAACAAAAATTGTAAAGTTGGAACAAATAAACTTAACTCAATTCTGGGCTACCATGCGGCAATCAATATTTTTTGTATTATTGAAAATGCTTATATTTATATGTCATGTATAAGATCATAAAAATATGTTCAGTTTGATAAACTTTACGTAGAATAACCGAGTCTGAATACAAAAGCTAGAGCATGTTTAAATACAAAAACAAAATTGGGCTGCCACTTGGCAGTCCTGAATTGGCTGAAAAGGGAAGAGAAGAAATAGCATCATTTTAGTCTGACATATGGTTTTTTTGTTCCCAATCTATTTTTGTGTGTTTAATGTTCAAAAAAGTAGAGGGGTATATGTGCTCTCTATCATAGTTCATGGGTATACGTGTCCATCCTCTGCATCAAAATTGACTACAACCTTTTAGGATTTGTCATACACTTAATCTTAGAATTCTTTGAATGTATAAATATAATTGAAACATTTAAATAAAATGATTTTGAACAAATATCTGAAATAGTTTTATTTAGTTTGAAGCATTTTTTTATATCCACCCATTGACCCATATTTCCTTTTCATCAAAATTTTATATCCAATTTCCCTAATTCCCTTCTGTTTTCTTCCCCAGCTATCATTTCCCAAATTCCAAATGGACCTCAAGAATTCACTGGAATTACCTTCTGCTGATACTTTAGATTTCCTGTCCTCTGAGAAAGAGCAATAAATTCAAGCTGCTCAGTACCAGAATCCGCCAAGATGCTGTCACCCTGATAACCAGAGCATTGAAAAAATTAGTTACATAAAGAAATTGTATATACGGGGTAATATGTATTAACATGTACTCGTATAACTATAGCCTTGTAAAGTACTCATTTACCCTAGTCCATGCTGGGTTGTGTGGATTCCCATGAGCCAAGTTGATTATGTTATAAGGGATGCCGGTGGGTGTATCCCATGCAGGCAAAAGCCTGTCAGCAATATCTTGAGCCTTTTTGAGGAAAGTATTATCCCCAGAGAGGTCATATGCACTTAGAAGTCCACCTACAACTCTGGTGCAAAAAAAATCATCACAAAACAGATGAAACACAAGAAATGAATTACTACTAGCATAACAACTACCGAGAAAACTATAAAGCACATTTTGTAAAAATAGGCACATTAAACCTTATAAAGAAACCTTATGGTTGTCTCAAAAACACTAGCATCATAGTCCTTGTTAAAATCCAAAGTGTTTGCAACCCACCTGCCATATGCAAAACTTGCCAGTTAACAAAACACAAATAAATATTACAAACAAACAAATGCACTTCAATAATTTTAGTGTTATCTGCTTCTTATTGAAAAAGTATTTCATAGCCAATAGTCATGCAAGTAAGGACAACAAGTTCATCTGGAAAGAAAACTACTAGGTATCAAGTAATGAGCATGAAAAAGATTCTCACTTTATTCAAAGGGAATATCAATGATACAAGTAGTTCATCCAGATGGAGAAACCGAGAGAAATAATGCAATATCAGTACATAAAAATGAAGGTTGAGCTGTAGAAAGATAAAACTCACTCTCTAGCCTTTTGAAATTCTTCATCAAGTCCCATGATATAAAGTGTATCCAGAGAGTCTATTAAAGTTGCTCCAAGGCCACCAAAGCTGTTGACCCCGTTCCTTGATTGTGGCTGTGAAAGCATAATAAGAGCTTCATCACTATACTCAAATTGTATCAAGATTGAATGCAGTTATGCAACACTGATAGTAGCAGAAGCAAATAAGAGATACAGATTAAAGCCAGCGAGAATAAAGCTTCAATTCAAACAGAAAAAATATCTTCAAGCAACACATAAAAGCATGTAGGTACTTCAAATATTAATGAAAGACACGATATTGTGATGAAATAGAAACATCACTTGAAGTTCATCATGACCCCATGCATATTTCTCATACGAACTCCAAGCATGGCGCATGGCATCTTTTACTTTCTCCCTTCGCTGAGCATCCGCTGGATCATCAAACACATCTTTTTCCTTAGCTCTGTCATCATTACTTTTTCCATCCAAATCTACCTCGCGTGGAATGACTCGACCACTCTTTAATTCTTCTAGCTACATTGCTCATGGAAAAAAACCACCAATGTTCAGCTATAACGGGAGTGGGGGAAACTATTAGAAACAAGAAATATCTCTTAAAATTACATTATCAATAATGAAAAGAATGGAGAATAATTAGAACAACATAGTTTGATGTGAAGTCAAGAAAATATATCTAAACCCCTTACCAGGTCTTGCAAGCGACTCACTTCACCATTCAACTTAGATATCTCTTCCTGTTAATAGTGACAAAGCTAATTCGTAGTTAAATGATTTATTATCAGTACCAGAACAATTAAATAGTCTAACAAGTAAAATAACTTAGTCAGTTAGTCATAATGCTGCATTAACAGAAAGTTTGAGTGAGATTCACTGTGGGATGCTCAAGATGCATACTTCAAAACAGTATTCTTCCCATACGTAGTTAATATTTATACATATTCACCATTCAACTATGGTGGTGCAAGACAAAACAAAAGTAAGCACATAAATCTATAAATTCTTGTCAGTGTGTTAAAAAAGATAATTTGGAGCTCTAAAGCTGTCAACGGAACAAAAAGATATCTTACCGAGATCTAAAACTTGTCTTCAGGCGCTGGTTTCAAAATATCAAGGGATGATTGCCTAATAACTAAAATAAAATGTATTTACGCTAAAAGTGCTCTATTTACGCTGAAAACGCTAAATCATAGAGATAAGGCTAAGTATTTGTGACACTCATATCTTGTTGTGTGTTCTTCCGTTTAGAGCGTATTATATCTCGTTGGAAAGATAATTTGGAGCTCTAAAGCTATTGTTCCAACTTCATTTACAATGCATTAATTAAAAGTTACATATTAACCATATATTTACAAATGTTTCTGATTTCACTCCGAACTCGTGTAGAATTTGATGCGATCATATCTTGCTCTATTTTGTTCCGTTGAGAGCGTGTAATATCTCGTTGGAAAGATCTTACCGAGTTCTTTTACCTAAATTTATAGAAATATATATAGTATACCTCTTAAATAAACCGAAATGATCAACGCCAACAAAAAGAAAACTGATAAAAATAATACTGAGTAGCTAATAAATTGAAAATTGGGTGCATTCTACATTTTGAATACAATACATACCAATAAAGCCTATAACAATTGCCCATATATGGCCACCAACAAAGTGACAAACAACCTCAAAAACAATAGAAAGATAAACATAGAAATCGAAAATGGGAACAAATGAGTTTGCTGTAAATTTACCTCGTGCTCGCGAATTAAGGTTTGACGATCCCAAAAGAAAAACGTTCCAGAAACGAAGACGATAAAGAGCAATGCCAGGCGCCTGGGTCGTTTCAGATAATACGTCGGATTCACATACCTCCATCGACTAGATGACGATCTACTGCGAGCCATTTTGATGATTATAAAGATATGTTGGTGCTGTTTGATGATTGGGATATATTGGGCGCGTAAATGGGTAATTACATCAGGAAAAAAAACGGCAAAGGAGATGGGAATGAAAGAATTATTGAGCTCCAAAGAGGATAAATGGCAGATTGGCAGGGCGGTATCTCTGTCCCAGAAGAGGGGAAATGAGAAGAATCTACTTGGGCCAGCAAAGCTACAAAACGAGAAAGGGTCGGATGACCGGAGACCAAAATACCATAAGTCAATGCAGGATTGCAGGATAGCCCAGGATAAGCAGGGTGCAAGAACATTGTGAAGTTGAGTCTATTTGATAAATTTCTGGATATCTCTTAACTTTGAAAACATTTTTTTTGAGAGTATTTACATATATTTTATTAATAAATTATATTTCAGTTATATGATTATTTCAGTTATATTTGACTTACTAAATTATGCACCTATCTTTTTATTCTATGATTTGAACAACAAAAAAGCTATGTTGCCTAAAAATTCACCTAAGTCAAACTTGAAATTTTATGGAGGGACAAGATTATACAACTTTTAAAATTGAGACAATAATAATTTATGTTACGAGCAATATTTTATTAAAAGACCTTATTAAATTTTTTGAAAGGAAAAATCGCTCATATTAATATGATTAAGATTAAAAGACTTATTGATAAGTACTAAAACTATTACAATAAGAGATAATTCAAATTTAATATTAAATTCGAAATCAATACTGTAAAACTAGAAACCCGTTTTGTAGACTACAAGCATCCAAATTATACAAATAAAGTTAACAAGAATTTGATGTACAAGTACGTATGCCCAAATTTACACCAGTTTTATTGTTAAAACAAATTAACATACAAATGTTCAGGTCCGGCCGGTTCGGATAGGACCCTCGTCCGGCCTCTGCCGTTTTGGGCGGTTCCCGGTGTTATTTTTGGCTGAAATTTTTTGTGTATGTTCTTCATCAAGTCTAGTTCATACATACCAAATTTGAGCAAAAAATTCAATCGGGAAAGTCGTCAAATGATTTGTATAAGATAATTTTGTTTTTTTATATATATACTCTGGCGCACATGTGGCATGAGAAATAGACACAAAAGATTGATCTTATGACATTTCCCTCTCTGTTTTTTCACGGTCTTATGTGTTTTTAGTAAGTTTTTCTCTGCAATGTCAACCACAATGTCTACATCTAGACATTGTGTTTGACATTGTGAACAGAAACTTACCAAAATGATATAAGATCCTTCCTAGAAGGAGAGATATTTTAATTACTCCCTCCGTCCCTAATAACTTTGCCAAGTTTGACCGCCACGGGGATTAATAAAGTAAAAACTGTGTGGTTGAGGTTTGTGCAGAGGAGAGAGAAATAACTGAAACCACAAATTCTTTACTTAAAAGGGAAAGTGGCAAAGTTAATGGGACATCCAAAAAAGGAAAGTTGGCAAAGTTATAAGGGACGGAGGGAGTATTGTTATATGATTGTCTCTGATGTCACGTATACACCATTAACCTGTTAACCTATTAGGAGATGCTCTGAGTGACTCTAAAATGAATGGAGAATTCTTTGTCTTCTTCTGTTAACTGCTAACTATCCGCTTGACAAAGAAACATGAGTAGATGATATTGCTTACGGGTCATTACGGTTCCACCTGACTGTATGTCAAGACAAAAGTAGCCACAACAGCAGATTGGTGGAGTAATATTCCCCAGGCCAAACCTCAAGAAGGCAAAAACTGTTACCTGAAATCTCAAGAATCAAGCTAAGAAAGCAGAGAGAGGGGACTTTCATGGATAAAACCAAAATAAGCTCAACCAGGTCATCATCACCAATAACCAACATAGCCGAGGAGCAACTGTTGACCATCTTGCTGTTTTTACCCATAGATTCAATTCTGAGCTTTGCCATGACCTGCAAGAGGTTCAAGTCACTGTCTTTGTCTGACCCCCTTTGGGAATCCATCTGCAGGAAGGGTTGGGGCAAGTTTTCAGTGGATTCCCTCAAGCCCATGCTTCAAACCAAGCATGGAGTCTCTTGGATAAATCTCTACCGCCAAATCCACCAGCTGGACTCTCTGAGTTGCCACAGAATCTTGACGAGCAACCAGGAGCTTCCCACTCCCAGAGCTTCTCATTCACTCACTTTTGTATCCAATTGCCTTGTTCTCTTTGGTGGGGGCTCTGAGGGAGGTCTGTTTTCTTTACTCTTTCCCAATTGTCTTCTTTTTCCCATTCTTTGTTCACTGGCTAGACTAGTTAATCGATTGTATTCAGTACTTTAGAGTCACTTAGATCGTACAGGCATTACATCTTAAATTGAGTTAGCACAAGCTAGTTATGGTTTTTATCGTTTCTGTTTGCCATTTTTGTGCTCTGCCCTAAGAGTATCACATCAAGCACCACAAATTAGACAAGGAAAACCAGAGTATAAGATAAAACTATTGTTTAGATTTCCAATGGTGGCGTTCATTCACTCTTACAAGTATACATCTCTTTTGTAAACTTCCTAAAAATGTTCTTCTCTTCCGTGTTTGTGGCCCTTAGGTAAGCACCTTGATGACACGTGGATAGCACATATAGACAGTGACATCAGGGTAAGATTGAAATGGGAAAAGATAGCTACGGGCAGTCCAAGCGGACGGTTCGGGCATTCCTGCATAGCCATTAAAAATTTCCTTGTCCTCTTTGGAGGCATCAATGACTTCGGCGCTCGCCAAAATGATGTTTGGATAGGGCAGGTGTCACTTAGCGGCGGTGTTACATTGTCTTGGAGACTACTGGATGTGAGTGAATCTAGCTCACCTCCTCCCCGAGGGGCCCATGCAGCTTGTCCAACCGATGATGGAATGATGATGCTTATCCACGGAGGCATTGGAATGTCCGGGCTTAGATTAGATGATACTTGGGTTCTTGACTTCTCAAAAGACCATCACTCTGGGGTATGGCGGGAGCTAGTGACTTGCTCTTCTCCTCCGTCTCGGTCCGGTCACACGTTGACCAACACTGGGAAGAACCAAATAATCATGTTTGGAGGGCGAGGGGGAGGGTACGAAGTTCTCAACGATGTGTGGCTGTTGCATGCATTGTCATGTGAAGGTGAATGGCATTGGGTGGAGTTATTAATTGACTTGCAGGGTCCTCAAGGGCGGGTGAATCTACCTCGGGTCGGCCACTCCGCGAACCTCATCGTAGGTCGTAAACTACTCGTATACGGAGGTGAAGACTCACATAGACATAAAAAAAACGACTTTTGGGTATTGGATATTGGTTCTTCAATGTTAAACATGAATTGTAAGAGATCATATATTTCAAAAGGGTGGACGGAGTTAAGGGGGATAGGCGATAAACCTGAACCTAGGTCATTCCACCGAGCCTGCACGGACCATTCTGGTCGATACTTGTACATAGTTGGCGGAATGGTAGATTGTTTGTGTCAGCGTGGTGGATTAGCAGGGTTAAGATTTGATGGAGGGCAGTTTCTCCTTGAGATATTGCTTCAGGTATAAAAATCTTGAAATGGTTTTTCCTGTTAGTCCTCAGATTGTTATTTCAGTAATGCAATTAATCCCTAACTAATGTAATACTACGTAGTAATTAGTGACACTTTTCATCTTCATCTATGGTATCAAAATTCAAAGTAGCATTAAGAGTCTTTCACAAAGTCAGAGGGTTAAAAGAAAAAAAAAATGAACATTGTATCAAGCGTCTGTCACAATAGTAAAAAACTAATATTGGAAAAAATAAAAAATAATTATCAAAAACGTCATTGACATAATAGTAGGAGTGGACTCGGGCCGGTTCGGGCCCGGTTCGGGCCTGGGCCCGGCCGGGCCTCGGTTCAAGAAGGGGAGGCCCGGAACCGGCCCGGGTAACCCCCGGGTCCGGGCCGGGCCGGGCCTCGGGTATATTTTTTTTTTTTTTGGGCTTTTCCTAGTTAACCCCCACCCCTCCCCCTCACCCCCAAACCAACCCTAACCACCTCAAATGGCCCAAAATAACCAGCCCAATCCAAAAACTCAAAAAAAAATCCAAAACAAAAAAAAATAAAATTGGCCCGGCCCGGGCCCGAACCGGCCGGGCCGGTTCACCTTTTGAAGGGCCCGAGCCCGAACCGAGAATCCACCGGGCCGGGTGGCCCGAACCGGCCAACGAACCGGTTCCCGGGCCGGTCCGGGCCCGCACAGTGGCGGGCCGGTCCGGTTCCGGGCCGGTTGGCCCGGCCCGAGTCCACCCCTACATAATAGTCACAAGACTACAAGTAAGAAAAAACATGCGTACACTTAAAAAGGTTGTTGTGACACAAAATGAAATGTAATGGTTTTACTTTTCATGCCACATTGTCTCCAATATTTTGATTGGTCCGTGGACTAGGTGTGGAATTCAATCCAGATTTTCGAACCAGACCCGGACTGACTAGCTTTTAAGGAAAAGACAAAACTGAAGGGCATTTCAGTTACTCCAAAATAGAACGGGCCCAACTCTAGTTCAGTTTTTTTGTTTATAATAGGCTAAAAAACCATGCCTGGAAGTCTGGAACTGACTACACAAAAGGACCTCCGACCTAGTATACCCAATTGCAGTTCTAGTCTCTCGGTCTCTCCCATTTGCATGATCAAGAATAAAACCAGGTCTATCCCTGCCCCATCCATGGCTTTGCGCCAATAGTTGGAACAATGAAAAGCAGAATTACTTTGCTGGTATGTACGCTCCCACCTTTCTACTCGCAATGGCAAAAAAGAACCTCAGATCAGAAAGCAGTAAGAAAATGCATTGCGCATGGATAGGAGTAAAACCCCAATGGTATCAAATTTTCACTTGGAACGAAGATCCAATGTTTAACCATTCACCCTTACAAAAGTCTTTTTGAATCTTCATGCTGTAAGAGAAAATGAAAACAAAAGAAAAGGCCTATGCACTCTCTGTAACTATACACGTAACCAGCATATACGTATTCACTATGACATGTTCACAAACCACCGACACTTGCATGACTGCTTGCTATATCACACCGGTATGGCATCAGTTTTGGATGCATCTTCACAACTCAAAACAATGCCATCAAGACTAGCTGGAAAAATACATTTCACCCAACTGCATCCGGTCGTGAATGGTTCAGGAGGGGGCACAATCATAAGCACATTTTCATTTCTTTGTACCACTCCCATTACACTCACTGTGCTTCCTTCTTTTATATACCTAAACCACACAAAAAGGTATGCTATTATTAGACTATGTATAGGTTGTAAGTTAGCTTATTAGCTTTTATTTTAGAGGAATGTTTTCAAATGAGTTGTTTTTGGTTAGGTCAACTTATTTGATAAGCTTCACTGGGTAGCTTTTCAAAAATAAGCCTTATCATTATAATTCTATTTTTAAACCTATTTTTGTTTTAAAATTATTTTAGATATCACTTATGTCATTTTGTATTTCATATCAAACTTATCAGCTTTTATGTAATATTTACCCAACACTATAAAATCAATTAACTTATCAGACATAGCAACATACACCCTGCATTCCATTTTTTAAATCAGATCACAAGGTATAACTGAAAAACCGAAATCTTCACTAATAATATGGAGTATTTAAATTACTTACATATTTAGAAACTACACTTAAAGTTCTATTGAGTATGTTAAAAACCTGATACACAAGATAACACAATAAAAAAGAAATTAGATTGGCTGCATGTCGCATGAATAGTAATGACAAACAAACTTGGATGGAGGGATTACGTTTTAAACTGTATTATAACTTATAAGCAACTCTGTGTTAAAAAAATTATTAGACCGTGGCTCATGAACTTGCATATTTTCCACTTAACAAAGGAGAGAGAGGGGGGGAGGGGGAGGGGGGAGGGAGAGTACCCTTCCTTCAATCGCATAACACGATCATCGCTTGAGAGTTTCCTCTCACCCAACCACCTAATAAATTCAGGGGATAACTCCTTATTCACTGGGTTCACATCAATAACTACTGACTCCTCCTCTACATATGGTGTGACCTTTGCTCCATAGCCAGTTTTAACCAATGCTCTCAATCCAGACTGAAAGTCAGAGATGTAAAAGTCGACCACGTGCTTCTGAAAAAAAAAATAACAGAACAGACAAAAGTACTCTTGTCAACGTATTTAGACCATGGCAATTAGGATAAGAAAATGCAAAAAAGGCAAGAACATATATATATAAACTTTAATGCTTAAATGCTTAATGATAAACAACTTAATAATGCATTTAATCCATCAAAAAACTCTAAGGAGTCATTTAGTTACTGACTTCTGATGATCTAAGCCCCCAAGTAAAATGGTGGTGTGTAGGGTTTGCAGCCTTTGAATCCCATCCCCGGTACTCATACAAGCTTGTTGATGTATAGATGCACCTAGGAACCTTCTGGAAGGATGATTCTAGAGGGACATTTCCGCAGGTCACCACCTTCACAAATATAATAACACAAACATTAAATATAAAATTCAAAGAAAAATGATTACCGCCAAGGTAACTTCAGTGTGAGCAAGTATGCTTTCTATGAAAAGAAAGAAATTAATGATTTTTTCTCACAAAGGTCCAGTTTACCCTTACCCCAGAAACCTTGACATATTGCCCGTTTTTTGCAGTTCTTAATTCAGCATCTGGATATCTACCAATGAAACCAATTATAGCTCTTCTTCCCCAAAAAGAGTTCCATATAAACAGTGCAGAAACAATCCCAAAAAGAACTATTACGGCAATCAAAAGTATGGGATTGTGGACGGCTCCAAGAATGAACCCACCAGCAATGAAGCCCATGACGAATAGCAAAACCATTGCCCAAAAGATAGGCTTTGGGAAGTTCTTTCTGAAGGAGAATTTATCATCTAGAAGAAGAGTGGTCACAGCATGAGAAGGACCATTCACCATTTTCATGGAGCCCATCATAGAGTCCAATTGACCAGAGACCTTTTTTGGTGCACCATAGGAATTTAGTGGTCCAGATGAGATGGGCCCGGAAGTAATAAGGCCTGTGGTAGGGAGTACAGGTGGTTGAGGGCCTGAGTTTTGACGGCCTGATATAGGCTCCCCATGCTTATTCAGAGGACCAGAATTGGATTTCTTCAAAGAGGATGAACCGGTCACCATTGTCGATGAAATGGGGCCAGAATGTGAAACAAATGATCCTGTTCTTGGGCCACTATTGGTTATGGGCCCTGATTTTCTTGACTTGGAGCCATCACCAGTGATATCAAACATTTTTCCAAGTTCACCTGACTTCTTGATATCACCGCCAGTATAGGGCATTGCAACAGAACTCATTGTTGGTGCCTTTTCTTTGGGCTGCTCTGGCCGGCCCGATACATATAGGCCATTGCTGAGTTGGTGAGATGGAAATCTTGAGCCCATCAAGCTAGCTTGCTATACTATGAAGTAACACCAATGTGTAAATTCAGAATGTTAGAAAGAAAACAATTGCATCAGATGACCATACATGCCAATAAGACTGATTAGCAAATAACCAATGATCAAAAGAAAGAGATTCTGGTCACAATCACTGATTCACATAGGGAAGAGATTTGAATGGAGTCTGGAACTCTGGATCTAATATACGGTTTTGCTAACCTTAGAGGGGGGGAAACATTTTTATGAGAAACTAGTGTGAGATATGGGAAAACGACAATCAACTTTGAACTAATAGGTAATATCTGATCTAGCCCCTTGACTGTATACTAATACTCAATGTGGTCATCAAATTGAGTTTCGGAGTGCGTGCTGTCCTCAACAATACAATTCTGAGACTAAATATAGTACAGCATATTGCTCTGTATTTAAGAAGGGCATATTCGTGTGCGGAGGACTATAAGCGAAAAAATGACATAGTTGGGGGCCATACACGGTCCTAAATTGGTCTAAATTTATTTAGTGGATAAAAACGCCATTACAACCAAATATATATACAGACTAAATCGTGTAAAATATCGCAGTCAATGACCAAAATGAGTCCAATACAAACAGAGGACCAAATTGAGTAATATAATGTAGTTGGGGCCTAAATTGATTTTTAACTCTTACATTGTAATTGGGATGATTTTACTAACTTCTGAATGCAGCTCCTAAGACTTATTCTTCAGATAAACCCCGGTTAGGGGATGATCACAGAAAGTGCAACAGCTTCAGGACTTGCAAATCAAGACTGAATAAAGGGTATATTAAAAAACTTAAAACTGAGCATTTTAAAACAGAAATTAACATTTACAGTCATTTTGCGCCTAACATACGACGATGAGTAAAAGGATGATCAAACATTTATGTATCTGTGTTATTATAATGTGTTTGAGAATCAAAGTAACAAGACTATCATGCTAATAGTCTAATACCTATTGTTCTTTTTCAGTTTCAACTGTGAAACAAACACTAGACTGGAATTTGAATTACCATCAACTATATTTCTTCCAACCAAACAATGGAATTTTGAATACACTGTTCGTTCTTTATTATTATTCCCATAGGAATTTAAATTTCACTCTTGTTTTATTTTTCTCTAGAGAGTGGCTTTGAAATCCTTCGCTATTTGAACTGAGATCTAGAAAGAGAAGAATGTCACACTCAACTTTGACTCTGCAGGTTTTAAACCTATGATCCATTTGGGTTAGGTTGCAACATAAACGGGCAACATAAACAGTTCTGTGTGAAATTGTAGATCAGAAAAAACAAATGAAAGCTGAAGCAAAACAAAATGATAAACACAGAAATATAAAGGAAAATATCTTATCAGCCAAAAAAAAGTGAAAAAGAGAGAACCGGGAATTTTTTAATTTAAAAAAGCTACACCCCACATATTGGACTTTGGAGATCACCAAGACTCAGTTCATCAAATGGGTCAGTTAAAAAAAACAGCAGTCACATCTTGTTCCAGATATCCATTCAACTCAAAAGATTGACTTTTACTGTTGGAAATGTGCCGTTCGGTCCCAAAAAAAAGAATGAACTTTCTCAATTCAACACTACTATGAGTCAAATCAAGTTGCCCAAAAGTAGCACACAGAGCAAAACAGCAAATCACATTGAGGAAACGAATGGCTGAAATGAAAATGGGAATTACTGGAAAAGCGAAGATCTGGTTTATCAATCATACCTGATATGAGAAAGTAGCAGATCAACTGAATTATTGACTAGGCATCATTTTCAAGTATAGAGAACCGTATATTAACAACAGTGATAGGACCAGTCGCTGGAATTGTAGTACGGCGCCTCCGCCATCCCCAAGTTTATCTTCTTCCCTTCTTTCTCCTGACGAAGCTTTAGAAAGCAGAAACAACGGGTGGGTTGTCTCTTCCGGTAATAATCTCCAGACACAGGCAAGCAAAATTGCAGAATCCTACAGAAATGGTAATAAGGGTTTATATACGACTCAGTTAATTCCAGCTTACTAATAAAAAATTACATTTCCAAAAAAAAAGCGAATTACAGCTCGTTGGACTACCTTGTTTTCAAGCTTATCAGTGAATATATTATGTAATAGTACTTCAGAAAACATTCCAAATAAAAAATTAGTATCAAAATAAATGTGTAACATTCTCACTTTCTTTCCTAATATTGCATACGGCATACCGAAGTATGTCACAAAACCAGATTTTGTTAGTTGAATAGAATTTTAAATAATTGGCCCATTATTAGGAAAATAGAATTTTACCAGTGTAGTTTTTTTTAAACAATTTACCAGTGTAGTTTTAGAAAGAGATATACATGGGTACAACCGTACAACCCACACTCTAAATACGTAATAGTTCAATTATATGCTCCCCGTCCAAAACAAGTTCACAGTTTGTTTTTTGGGTAAGTCCAAAATAAACTTAACACTTCTATTTTTGATAATTTTTTAATATAAAGTTACTCTTATACATTTACTTTAATACCTACTTTACATCCACTCTCTTTCTCCCACTACATTTTATCTACTTTTTAGGGGGCACAATGAGAAAGTCAAAACAAAAAATTTCACTTTCTTAAAAACCGTGAAGTCAAACAATGAAGTTCTTTTGGGAACAGGGGGAGTAATATTAATTGAACAAAAATGATGTTTGTACACACTCTTATACACACTTTTGTACACACTAGATACTTATTAGATACTTAATTTATTGACGAATTCAATTACATGTGTTATCTGGGCAACACACGAGTTGATTGACTAGTTTCTAATCAATGAAGACAAATAATCTAGAATTGATTGAGTCTACCGAAATTTACGAAAATCGAAATAATCTAATTAGTTGATTCTGTTAATTTATGAAAATAAAGAAAAAATATCTAAATTAACGTTCTAGTTATTAATATGCTGATAATAACTGAATTAATTGATTCTACCAATAACTAAAAATAAAGAAAAAGTATATAAAAAATAAATAAAATGATTCTATGCGGTAATTTCAGCTAAAGTAAGGTTATAGAAAGAAAAAGTGAAGAAGGTAAGAAAAATAATATGAAAAAAAGTAAGGTTAAAACTTATGAGGATAGAGATTAAAATACATAACTTTTTTGAAAGGAATATGTTCCCATTTACCAATATAAAAAGAACTGATATTGTATGTACTCTAAGTAGTGGTTATTGGGACTCTTCAGTTGATTGAGATCATCTGTCGTGTGGCACAGGTGCCTTATGGTAACAAACGGATGGATGAGAAAGAAGGCGCCTCAAGATGCGGTCCTCCAAGATCTTTCATTTATCAGATGATCCTCCAAAGTCGAGCACCTTGCCTTGCTGCAAATCAAGGCAGAAGATCTAGATCCTTTAAGAGTAGTGTAAATACTTGATAAATATGGACATATGTGAGGTTCAATTAAACATCTTGAGGTGCCTTCTTTCTCATGCTTGATGTACACACCTTTGTACACACCTTATATACATCATGTTTGTGAAGTTTTTTTTGTCTGTGAATCCGGTTCACAGACAATATTTTATTTGTGCAAAACATTGTTTGTGAATCGATGTTCACAGACAAAAAAAAGCTTTCACAGACATAGGTGTGTACAAAAGTGTGTATAAGAGTGTGTACAAACATCATTTTTGTTCAATTAATATTACTCCCCCTGTTCCCAAAAGAACTTCATTGTTTGACTTCACGGTTTTTAAGAAAGTGAAATTTTTTGTTTTGACTTTCTCATTGTGCCCCCTAAAAAGTAGATAAAATGTAGTGGGAGAAAGAGAGTGGATGTAAAGTAGGTATTAAAGTAAATGTATAAGAGTAACTTTATATTAAAAAATTATCAAAAATAGAAGTGTTAAGTTTATTTTGGACTTACCCAAAAAACAAACTGTGAACTTGTTTTGGACGGGGAGCATATAATTGAACTATTACGTATTTAGAGTGTGGGTTGTACGGTTGTACCCATGTATATCTCTTTCTAAAACTACACTGGTAAATTGTTTAAAAAAAACTACACTGGTAAAATTCTATTTTCCTAATAATGGGCCAATTATTTAAAATTCTATTCAACTAACAAAATCTGGTTTTGTGACATACTTCGGTATGCCGTATGCAATATTAGGAAAGAAAGTGAGAATGTTACACATTTATTTTGATACTAATTTTTTATTTGGAATGTTTTCAATCCCCAGATCAGACCAGTTCGGACTAGACAACAACAGATCAGACTTAGATAGTTATAAATACACAGAGATTAAGACATTTACCAAAACAGAACAGATCAGATCAGACTAGAATAGATCAGACCAGATCAGAAATTTTCAATCCAAGTAAAATCATCCTAACTAAACTAATAATTGTAGAATAAAGAAATCAATTGGTTTTGAAGGGCAAATTATATCGTGGTACCAGTATACCATGTGCATGGTATACCGGTACCACATACGGGCAGTGGCGGAACCAGCCTTTGGATGTTGGAGGGGCACACTAGCACATAAATTATACTACATACGTCCCAAATTATTTTGTAAAGTCAACATTTTTTGTAAAACAGTGTTAAAGTTAAATCCTCCATATTGATAAATAAATCAAATTTAATATTCCCTCTGTCCCATTAGAAGGTTCTCACTTTCCTTTTTTGGAAGTCCCATATAAAGGTTCTCATTTCTATTTTAGGAAACAATTAACAATCTTAAATGACAAATTAATCATTAAATATTGAAAATGACACATTTATAACACCACAGTTATCAATACTAACTACATTATAATTTATATCTATTAAAATTATTTCTCAAACTATACCCGAAGTACTTTATTTAATTATTTCCAGAACAACCGTGTCATTTTGCTATGGGAACCTTCCAACGGCACGGAGGTAGTAGTTAAAATCTACATATTCAGAAACTACATTAAAATATCTATAAAGTTGCAAAATCCAAATTAAAAATTGATATCCTAATTAAGTGAATAAAATGAAAATGTTTGACTCAAAAAAGTCAAGTTTGTAACTCAATTTGAGACGGAGAGAGTATATATCATCAATATAGTAATAAACAAAACAATAAATAAACGAAAATGATTGGGAGGCGACAATCTTTGTCTTTGATATGCCATACTTTGAAATCACCTCATAATGAGTTCTCATTCTCAATTTTAACAAATACATCTTTCTCAATTCAACTTCAGAACTTCTATTAGAGGCTTTTTAACGTTATTTTGAATGCCATTATCTGATGAAAAAATTAAATTATTCGAGGAAGAACACACAATATTTGGCCCTTTACTATCTTTAAATCTTTAAGAATTGATTTATACAATCACATGAATTCTTATCAATCAATCTAGTCTAGAATTGAAGTAATATGAGTATAATGGTAAAAATAGTATTACAACAAACTGAATACACAACACAATTATAATAGGATTAACACATTATTAAATAAGAATAATAATAAAAAGACTACACGCTTGCACACAAAAATTAATAATTTATAAAATCGTTTCACTTGGCTGCCTTGCCGGAGTTGCTGCGCATAACGGTCGAAACTTCGTTCAATGTTTTGTTGCGCAGAAGAGGTTGCTTGACTGCTTCTGTCTAGCAATCTGTGCACTTGGGTTGTTGGGCACTTGGGCTATTAGACAGATCTCAGGTGAGTCTCATTGACTGTTCTTATTACTACATAAAAGGTAAAATTGGGCTGGCCACTGCAGGGGTGGGACTTTGGTTTGAGCTCCAGGGGCTGGATGTTTGTTTATTAATAATATTATTATATATTATATAAAGAAAACAGCAAGGCCGCAGGGGCACAAGCACCCCCAGGCCATATGGTGGTTCCGCCACTGCATACGGTGTCGTTTTTCCATTTTTGAAGCATTACATACATTTTTTCTTTTCCTTCATAGCCTCTAGGTTTGTTTGAAGCACTATTTCCTCTCTTTATTTTTCTTTTTTGTTTTCTCCAATTATTTTCACCTCCATGAAAACACTTAAAACTAATTGTGATTTTATTTATCTTTATCTTTAACTAATTAAATTAAAATTGAATTAGCTTTTTTATTTAATTACCAATTTATTACTAAATTTATTAACTTTTTTCTTTAATTACCAATTCATTACTAAATTTCTCAATCCACATAAAATAAGTACTACCAAATTTATTTTTGGCGTAATACTTTTTTCATTTATACACCTTTTTTGTAAAATATTTTTCATATCGATACACTTCTTTTATAATATATTTTTATCACTTTTATATGTTTGTAGTTTTTTAAGACATTAAGTTTATTTATTTTGATTTAAATTTGATAAAACATGAGATTACATTTTTCATATGTGTGAGTTATGTTACAATTTCACGAGTTACATTCGATAGTATATGCAGTTACATTTTTCTATGCGTGAGTTACATTTGGATTTGCCTCAACAATTTACATTTTGCATACACCTACATTAAATTTTCCATCAATGCGAGTTATATTTTTCATAACACGAGTTACATCACAAAATAAACTCATGCTATTGAAAAAAAATAAAAATTTGTAAAAAAAAGATTTTTTTTGGCAAATAATTTTTTTTGGAATTGTTTACTCTCTTTAAAACATTTTTATGGCCCTAATATTAAAAACAAAACATATTCACTATTTACATAAATTAATTGAAAAATATTAAACTCCTTGTTTTCAATGTTTACATTTAATATTATATGAAGTTACATCTTCTTATGCATGAGTTATATCTGTTTATGTGTGAGTTACATCTTAATGTAAGTGAGTTACACTACGAAAAAATCTGTTTTAACTATATCATTTTAATAACCCTAATATTAAAAAAACTTATTCACTGTTTACAAAAAGTAATTGGTCAATTAATATCAATTTTAAATTGAAACCAATGTTTATAATATATATATATATATATATATATATATACATATACATATACATACATACACACACACACACACACATATATATATATATATATATTCTATTTAATTACATCATTTTATGGCCCTAATATTAAAAATAAAACATATTCGCTAATTACAAAAGTAATTGAGTAATTAGGATCAATTTTCATTGTTTACATTGAAATCAATTTAGTTTTTTCTTATATTTCGTTTTAGACCACTTACATTTAAAGTTGACTCTAGTTACATTTCTTATCAACGTGGATTACATTTTTTAAAACGGGAGTTACATCACCCTGCTACTGGAATACAAAATAAAAAGTTATTGTTCATCCGCGGGTACTGTTCATCCGTGTTTTATCCCTGGGAGCATGATGCTCATAGTGGGCCGGTACCACGGTGTATGGACCGGTTTTGAAGGAATATGACGAAAAAAATTGGTGAGCCCCACTTTAAACGTCTTCCCAAATTTTGCTTCGGTGATTGACTCGTCTGTTGATCCTTTCACTTCCGCACAAATTATATCGTGGGATAAGCACACCATGTGCATGGTATACCGATCCCAATACGGCATTGTTCCTTCCCCCAGTTTTTTTATTCTTTTCATGCTTCCACTAACTTTTCTTCCAACATATATGCTTCCCCTTCGTTTCTCTTGCCCTCCTTTTTGAACGGATTCCCTTTCTTCTTGTCTTCCTTTCTTTTTCTTTTCCAATTATCTTCATCTCCATTATTAAAATATTAAAAATCAGATTACAATTACTTTTATCTATAATATATATATTTTAAACAATTTCTTATCTCTTTTATATGTTTTTAGTTGCAATGTTTTTTATATATAATATATATTTCTTATCTCTTTTATGTGTTTTTAAGACATAAAGTATGTTTATTTTAACTTACACTTGATAAATGTGTGTGGTTTACATTTTTACATGTCTAAGTTATGTTTATAGATAATTTCTTGAATTACATTTGATAGTATATGAAGTTACATCTTCTTGTGCGTTAGTTACATATTTTAATGTGTGAGTTACATCTTTTTATGCTTGAGTTGCATCTTCTTATACGCGCGTTACATTTAGACTTGCCTTAACAAGTTACATTTTTCATAGACCTAAATTAGATTTTCCATCAACGCGAGTTACATTTTCTATAACATGAATTACATAACATCATAAGGTCCTGCTATTCAAACAAAACAATCAGTTTTATGCAAAAAAACAATTGAAAAAAAATGATTTCTTAGGCAAAAAAACTGATTTTTAAAAAAAAAATTATGGCCTTGATATAAAAAAACAGAACATATTCACTATTTAAGTAATCCCCTGCTATTAAAACAAAAAATCATTTTTTTTCAAAAAAATGATTTTTTGGTGAAAAACAATGATTTTTTTGGAAAAACAAATGATTTTAAGAAAAAAAACATTATTTATGGTCTTAATATTCAAAACAAAACATATTCACTATTTACGTAAAGTAGTTGAACAATTAGATTCCTTATTTTCTTTGAAATCAATGTTTTATTTCTTATAATCTGTATTAGACAAGTTACATTTCGACTTGC